GAGAGAGAGAGAGAGAGAGAGAGAGAGAGAGAGAGAGAGAGAGAGAGAGACGAGAAGCAATGGCCAAGATGCACTGTTTAGGGACAGAGCGCGCCAATCTTAAATCCTAGGGGTGTGTGAGCGCGCCGTCCAAGAAGACTTTAGAAAAATAATTTTTGAGCTTTAGTATGATTCATTCTTAAGTTAAGGCCGTTGCGCGCCATTTAAGAGTGGGGGTTTAATAGTATACGAACAATGAGCGCGGGCTGCCCGTCGGGGAGGTTCGAAAGCAATTCTGTCCTCCCTGCCGGGCCAGCCGGAGAAGCAAACGCGAGAGACAATACGCCTAGAGTAGAGCGAAAACTTAAAACGTTTCATCACAGTCGTACACTTTTCGCCGGGCGCTATGCACGGCGCCGGACAATCACCAACTATCAAATATCAATAACGTTAAAAAAGAAAGCACAAAAAAAACCTCTCTCGCCCACGAGCAAACACAGCGAAACACAAACAACACCAGTCTAGTGGGCCTTATCCCCCCCAGAGAGGGGGAGTAAGAGAGAGAGAGAGAAAGGAAAAGGGCCGCAGGCTTTGGGAGAGCACGCGGTGGCCTTCTGTGCGGACAGTCGAGAAGGTGAGGCGCGACGGGCTGCTGGTGGGGTGGTCCTTGACGTCCTCCGGCGCCCTCGTCGCGTGGGTCCTCGTCCGAGACCCTCAGCCGAGGGCCAGGCGTACGCCCGTCACGACCAGCAGCGCGAGCAGCCACAGCGGCTGCTGGGCGATGCCGCCGCCCCCGGTCTGCATGGCCGCCGGGTTCTCCCCTGCAACAAGACACCCGTCAACATGAAGCAGTGCGCTGAAGACAAGACACGGTAGGGATGGAAGCCCTGGGAAGTTCCCGGAAAATTTCAGGAAAAGACGGAAAATATCCGGGAAAAAATTAAAATTTTCCCAGATTTTGGAAAGTTTTCCGTTATTTTCCGTATATTTTCGGAAAGTTTTCGGAATTTTTCCGGAAATTTTTTGGATATTTCCAACCATAACACGGTGTACCGGGAGTAACTGAGAATGCGCAACAGTGTTGCGGGATTGCATACCCGCCAGGGCTGCAGGGGCCATTGCGCCTTACGGGCTAACTGGGTAGGCAAACCCGCAACACTGTTGCGCATTCTCAGTTACACCCGGTACAGAGCGGTCCAAAAGAGCAGCGTCGGAAGCACCAAACATAGCAGCGGGTATATACACCCGATAAAAACAGTGTCTGAATTTCTAAATAGGGGAAAACTGAGAAAAACTCTGTCGATTCCAAATGTGCACATGTTCTACTTTGAATTATGTAAACATGGCATGTGTACAGTAATTAAAGTATACATGCCTATGTACGTTTTTATAAATGTAAACATACTGCTCATACTGCAGTTAGTATACAGCCATAAGTATACTTAATTTATCGTATACAATATAAACATTTGTATTGACAGAAAAGTGCCTAGATTTTGAGGACATCTCATACAGAATGATGGATGCCCGGGGATAGCCCTAATGTGCCGGGGGTTGCAGAGCAAGCACACGCCAAAGAGTGTGGGCTTGCACACTTCCCCTTCCCGCAAGGGGCCATCCAGAGAGTATGTCCGCCTTGCGCCGTTACGAGCAAGTTCAGCTCTCATAACGCCTGGTAGGTAGGCACACCTCGTCTGCAGTGCATGCGTGTACTGCGGGATGGCCTACCTGGCGTCTAGCAGGCGCCGAGCCCCCGTCATTAACCGAACGAATCTGAGAAAAGAGTTGCAATTTCCGGGCGATATCCCCAAGGAACCCGTCTGTACCGGCGCGTGCGCCGGAACACTCGGTGTAACACACAACACACACTGGAAATCCCAGTATAAAAATGTCGCACAGCTGCGCAGGTGTGTGTAAACATTCACACGCTCATTAGTGAGTCTAAATTCAGAAATAAATAAAAAATATTGTAAAGTTTGACTTATTTAGACCAAGTGTATGTCTCCCTACGAAACGACGCCATCTCGGTATGAGAGTGCGTCCAATGAGATCTCGCTCGTAGGGGAAACAGCGGGCGACATGACTTTGAACATGAGCAGCCTCAGCATTGCGTTGATCCGATGAGTGATCTCCCTCGGCGACGTGGTGGAGATTGTTTGGAGCGGCGTGGCGGGGCGTGGCGGGGTGGGGCGTTGCGTGGCGT